TTGGGGATAGTTTTTAAAAAAATATTTTGAGTGATTCTGAATAATTTTATTTCTTGCCATGTGTATATAGTACTTTGATTTTAAAAAGTCATTGCAGCCTGGCCAGTATGGCTTAGTGGTTGAGCATCGACCTATGAATCAGGAGATCACAATTTGATTCCCAGTCAGAGCACATGCCTGGGTTTCAGACTCACTTCTCCAATGTGAGGCATGTGGGAGGCAGCCAATCAATGATTCTCTCTCATTATTAATGTTTCCGTCTCTCTCTCCTTCTCCCTTCCTCTCTGAAATCGATAATATATATATATATATATATATATATATATATATATATATATATATATATAATTTTTAAAGTCATTGCATACCTGCCATGTGGCAAGCATTGTGCTATATCAGACATGTAGAAGTAGTAATAACTTTATAGCAGAAGCATCTACAGAAACAAATGATGCTAGGACAGGAGCCTTTCCTGAGGATGCATGTGTGTAAGTGGGAAGCGAGGAAGTGAAGCAGGGAATCAGTTCACAGAGTATTTGAACAGTTGATTGAAACTCCTGGTTTAAAAAACCCAGAGAGGTGAATTAGGAGGAGAGGTCTTTGGAGCTCAGGGGCTTGGAGACTTGACAGGGTTCCATTAGATTAATATCGATAATATTCCGGGCAGGCAGATAGAATTATAGACAATTTCTATAGGGTCCTTAGAGAGACTATCCAGTTCTTTCAGTTTACAAATGAAGGAAGCTTGGTAGTGGCTCAAACCCAGTCCTTATGATTCCAAGGCTAGTGATGGAGCTCCAGACTCCTTGAAGCAGGAATCACCATGTATCACATTCCTACTAAGGACCAGGAGCTGTACTGGCCACTTATGTATGTTATTTCATTTCATGTCCACCACAGCCATAGGAAGTAGGCTACACCCATATTGAATTTGAGAAAATAAGGTTTAAAGAATTGAAATAATTTGTCTAAAGTCTAGAACTAGATAGAAGCAGAGCCTAGATAGGAGTCTGTTGACCCTGAGATTCCTGGCCCTTGGTTTTGGTTCAAAATTTAAGCCCACATCCCTGTATTGGTGACCAAAGGTAAAAACAAACAACTATTTCATATTTAAGTGTTCCAATCCACTCAGAAGGAAAGTAGGGTCCACTCCCAGCACTGTATAAACCAAGCCTTTGATCTGCTTCTGCATTGCCTCATGGCCCACATGGGGGGAAGAAGGTCTGTGAGCTGCCAGGCCATCCCTCTTAATTAGAGGGGACCCCAGGAGCCTTCATGTAGCCCCAAGCTATCCTGAGCAAAATAAACAGGAAACAGAAAAGAGGGAGAAGAGAGATAAATCCTCACTGACTTTAAAAGATTTATGCTGACAATATTCCAAGGAGCTTATGAATTTTTTTTTTTGGGGGGGGGGGGGGAGAGGAAAGCTGCCGATGAAGAGATAGCTCTTAACTACAGAGTTTCATTGAGAGTGAAAATACTTTAAGTTCTGTCTCTTATTGATAGTACAGTTGCACAAAATAAAATTCATATAAACATCATCTCACATACTAGAAGTGGAGGAATAATCCATCTTCCAGTCATCTCTGAAAGAGTCCCATTACTGAGGTACTGAATTACAAGGACAGAATTTACATGTTTTCACACCCATGAAGGAGGAACAGTGGTGCTGAAAGACTCCCAAGTCCCAGCATTTTCAACCTCATTTTCTCCTGCTGGGAACTTGAATTTCCCGTGTGTGTGTGTGTGTGTGTGTGTGTGTGTGTGTGTGTGTGTGTGTGTATGTGTGCCTGTGTATATCTGTGTGTACATGCACACATGCATGCAAACTTTTTTCTGAGAAGGGAACACCTCCTTTATTTACCTACTTTCTTTCCTTCAGAAACTCCAAAACTGGTTTCAATTTGACTTTCCACCTATTTGGATACATAAGAGTACAATATCAGACCAGGGCACCTTATGTGTGACATGTGTGGCTTTTTCCTAAGCTCAGACCATGACCCCAAAATGTCAGGAACAAGAGTCTGCCCCAGAGGTGTTTCTAGAACTCCCACCTGCTCTAGACAGATATACTCTAATCTAGTACAGAATTGGAAGCCCCAGTCAACCCCTGAGTCTGTCCCCAACACGGTACCTTTGTTTAATATGGTAACATACAAGGCTATCATGTTTACATTTAGCTATGCCTAGTGAGGACTGGCGGAGAAGGATGCAATTGAGTCAGTATTGACCCCCCTGTCTCCCACCACACCAGAGTAATCTTCCTGCCGCACCACTCTGATGATGTCACTGTCCTGCTCAAAAACCTTCTCTGGCTCCTTATTCTTCACAAAATAAAGATTCACATCTTCTGCCAGGAATAAATCTCTATGGTCCCACACCCATCACCCTAGCCTTTCTTATTTCCCAGCCTTCTCTTCATGTACTCTGCTCTGTAGCCAAGGCCATGATACACTTTCTGCATTTATGCCTCTCAGATCCTGCACTGTGGACTCTGCCAATACTTTTGTTTTTCTTATCCTTGAAGATTAGCTCAAAGGTCATCTTCTTTATGAATCTTCCCAATTAAACCTAAGATATCCTTCATGAAGCCTCCCATGAGCACGCTTTACCTGTTTGTGTCTTGTGACTTAGAGCCTCTGCTTTTGATTGCAGTTACTGCAAACACTTCATCACCCTTTCCTGGACCTGATGTTTCTTGAAGGCCAGAACTGTGTCTGGTTCCTGTCTGTGTCCCTGGGCTGAGCCAGTGCTTGAGTAGGCATCCATTAAATAAACTTTGAGGGCAGAGGGAGTGGGTAAGGAAGCCAGTGAACCAACGGATTTGGTTTAGGTCGCATCTGCCTGTCTTTCTCCTTTCCCATCCCTCTGAGTTCCTGAGCTATACAACTTGGCCACGAGGCACCTTTGTCATTTTTTGGGATAAAGGATACAGTGGTATAATGAAAAAGGAAGAAGAGAAAGAATAGTGGTTAAGAGTTCAGAGACCTGAAGTCTGGTCTGGACTTCCTATTTAAGACTTTGAGTAAGTCATTTTTCCATTCTCATCTCCAGTCTGCTTCCATAGAAAAGCAAGGGCACTATATTACATGATTGTTAACTCCTTTTTTCATTCTGAATCTTTGGTTCTAATCCTTTATTTTACTTCTATGCCCATTATAAGAATGTCTCTCCCATTGTAAAACAGAGTAATGATATAGATTATTTACCAAGGGTGGTAGAGCAGTCTCAAAGGCCCATATGCCATGCTTCCTAACATTACAGAGCACTCAGTTTCCGTATATGCCAATGTCCTCCATCCAGCTCAGAAACAGGCTTGTGCTGACCTCTCCTGATTTTAACCAAAAGTCACATTTACCTACCTCCAGAACATTGCAAATCTCAATGCCTTCTCGTTGGACACTGCTTTGCTTCTCATAGGAATCCCCCCTTTTTATCTGCATCGTTCTCTATTGAGGGGGTGCTGGTTCATTTGCCTATGTGGTAAATCCTATTATCTGGAGAAGGCGACTAATTTGAGGTGCCCAGAAAGGGGTGGGGGGTGAAAAGGCTGATCTGAACACTCCTTAGCTGGTTCTCACTGGAAGTGTTGGAGATCTTGTTGGAATTGGCTTCCACTGCCAAGGAGCAGCATCTAATGGTCCAAAAACTGCAATGCAGGAGGGGAGTGTGGCAAGTGAACTAGCGCACCAGAAGAAATGCATGGAACAGTAAAATGATGCTGTGCTTTTATGCTGACAGTAACCACCAGGAATATAAGTTTCTTATCAGTCACTGGCCACTGCTACTGGAATTAGGGCTGGCATGCCCCAGAGGGAAACTCAGCCACAGGCACAGCACTGGTGGAGGTGGGAGTCGTGGTGAGGGAGTGAGGGATTTGGAGGGATTTCTTTCTGGAGACTAGTTGCAAATTCACTTGACTCATAGACTCGAGAGCAGAAATGAATCTTCAGAGATTTATAAGTTCAGCTAACCCTTCTCACCCTATTTTATAAGCAGAAAACTGAAACCTGAGAAAGTCAGTGCTTTGCCCAAATTCATTCAGCAAGTAAGCAAAGGAGCAGGAGCCAGGATCTTAACTACTTCCTTCTACATGACCCAAATACTTCCTTTCCAAGCACACACCTCACAAGGAAAACCTTGAACAGGTCATAACTATTTGAGAACCGAGAGCTAATGCATACATTACTGGGAAACTGAATAGTCCTACAAATTGAAACTCAAGCTGGCTTGAATGTTATATGGAGAACTTAGCTCCGATTTTAATTGTGACCTAAAGGCTGGCCTAGATGCTAGCATCCTGGTTTCTGGGGTGTGGAGGTACCCTACATTGATAGTCACAAGATGGCCCTCATTTCCTGGCTCCACTTGGCACATTTATGGAGGGAGTAACTCGGTTAGACTGTCGCCCTAGACCAGTATGTAAACCTATAAGAATGTCTTAGCACTTGGGTTGGGTTTCTAAGAATTAGGTAATACACACTATTCTTCTCCCTGTTGCCTATGGGGGGTTTTGTTAATTGCACCTATTGGCTGGCAAAGAATCTGTGAGCGGTCATCTCTACTTTAATTTAGAAGACAGTAAAATCTCATAATTGATTATTTAATAGGTGCTTCCTTCCTGCCTAAAAATGGGTGAAATGCTTTTAAGGATTATCTCACAGAATCCTTACAACCACCCTTTGAAATAGAGGTTTCCATTCCCATTTTAGAGGTGATAAGACTCAAGGACGTAGAGCTACTAAATAGGGATGCTAAGGTGAGAACCTTGGTGTGCCTGATTGTAAAGCCTCAGTCCTTAGTCGCCATTCTCTTACATCAGGTTTTAGGTTTTACAAAGGTAAGAGAAGGGGAAGAGGGCTGGTGTGTGCCAAGAGAGTGATGAAGGCCTCCAGCATCACAAACTTTGATGCCATTGGTCTCTAATACCTGCTACAGAGGTGCTGCTAGTCAGCCTGTCTGGACACATCTGCAGAGTCACTTTCCTGGTCTCTTGGCAGGCTCCTTCCTCCTCCTCAACACCTCAGCAAACTCCAAGCATACCATCCTGAGCCCATGGATGAGGAGCAGCAGTGAGCATTGCAGACTGGCCGTCTCCGTTCACAGGCACCTGCAGCCTTCCGGGAGGTACGTCGCCCAGCTGCTGCCCCATAACGAGGCTGGAAGAGAGATCCTCCTGGTACCTACTCCGGGGAAGCATGGGTAAGTCCTTGCTCATTCCAGATCTATTCTATTGAAGACAATTTGGCTTTTGACCGAAAAAGTTCAGATCCTGTGGCATCTACTTAAAACTCACAATTGCTCTTTAATGGGTAGGGACCAGATTGAGCCATAACTGTTACTATTCCCTGGATATTATCTCACATCCTGTGGGGCCCTCTGGCTGCCCAGGCTGGTGGCCTTCCAAGGCCAGAGGAGCAGCTGGCAGAGTTGGCATTTAATGAGTGGATGTTAAAGATATTCATTTTCCAAAATCCAGACAGAGCCAAAGAGAAAACAGCCAAGGGGAGTGATAAACAGCCGAAATGAAAGTAATTTAATATGTTGGAAAGTAGGTTTTAGCAGCAGAACTTTAGCAGAAAGGGAAAGAGAAAACTATTGTATCCACCATAGGAGGAGCATGGGACCTAGAGCAGAGCTGGTCAGGGAGACCACACAATGTCAGTCTCAAATCAGTAGAGACTGACAACCTTTGTTCTAGAACCTCTAAAGCTTACTCAATACTAAGGTGACACCCAATACTCATGTCAGTGAACTCCTCTAGAATATACCTGCCTACTTCCTGATCCAGTGTGCCTCTAGAAGTGGTGACATTGAAAAACCAATGTGAACCAGGGCATCTCTGTGGCTGCCTTTTTTCTCATTTTATAGGTGTAAATACCACTGCAAGACCCCAGTTGTGAATGGCTCCAGGTCTGATTACTTTATAATCAACTAGAGGTCCAGTGCACAAAATTCGTGCACTCAGGGCTGGGGTCCCTTAGCCCAGTCTGCACCCTCTCACAGTCCAGGAGCCCTCAGGGGATGTCTGACTGCCACGAAGGCAGAAGAGACTCCTGCCACCGCTGCTATGCTCGCCAGCCATGAGCCTGTGTTCTGGCTGAGCAGTGCTCCCCCTGTGGGAACTCACTGACCACTAAGGGACAGCTCCTGCATTGAGTGTCTTCCCCCTGGTGGTCAGAGTGTGTCATAGTGACTTGTCATTCCACTGTTTCGTCGATTTGCATATTAGTCTTTATTATATAGGATAAGGGCAAGAGATTCTTCTTTATGGCATGTTTGTAGGAGAAAGAGCTCAAATTTCTAGCTAAGCTTAGACTTTGGACTTAGCTTCTCTCTAAGAAAATACCTTGCAGAGGGTTCTCATCTGAACAATGATGTTACTCATCCTCCACCTCCATAGTGTGCTGGACTGGAGGGAGGGTGGGTTCTGCCCACTGCTTTCTCAGTAGAGCTGTATAGACTTCTGAGTAATTTTTTGGAGGGGCGATCCATAGACTTCTCTGCTGTGTGGAGGAATGCTGCTTCCATGGGCTTCTTGGCAAACTGCAGGACACAGGCACCTGTCCAACAATTCAGAGAGCTCTGGGTATTTGTGTAGAGCTGGATCCGGTTTGCTCAGTCTTGGCATTATTGACAGCTAGAGCCAGATAATTCTTTTCATCAACATTGTTTTGTGCGTAGTCCCCAGCTTCCCAAGCCTCTACCCACTGGATGCAAGTAGCACCTGCCTTGGTTGTGACCAAAAATATGTCTCTAGACATGGCCAGGTATCTCCTGGGGGGTGAAAATATCCCCATTGAGGACCATTGAAATAACCAGAGCATTTTATAGCTGGGAGGAGCCATGGGATTTACCTGGTTCATCCTCATCAGTTCACATGTGTTGGAACTGGAACTGAGACCCGAGGATGAAGGGGCTTGCTCTATGTCACATGATGAATGTGTGTTGGAAGCAAGGGTCTTGAGCCCTAAAATCAAGTGTCTTACCAACTGCTGTACTAAGTCCTGGGTTACAAAGATATGTAACACCTAGTCCCTACCCTTGAATAATAATAACTATACCTATTACTAATACTTATTAAGCTCTTCTGAGATGGGCTAGCCAGTCACTGCTATGCACTTTACATGCATTTTTTAAATTTAATACTAAATAACACAATGAAGCAGAAGCTAGTATTATTTTCCATTTTATAAATGAGGAAATTCAGTGAGATCAAATAACTTGCCCAAGGTCACTGACTAGACAAGATGGAGGAGTCCGAACCTTTTTGCCCATAGTTGGAAAAGCTCAATTAGTTCATAGTGGTGCAGCAGAAAAAAAATTATGCTGTGAATCAAAGCCCTGAATATAAGTCATAGTTCACTATTCAGTCATCAGTCAATGAACAATCATTTATTGGCTATTTTTTCTTTAACTGGATTATAGAGGCATGTAAGATACAAAGGCCAGCCTTTGGTGGTCCACCAAAGGATATTCCAAGAAAGAGCTCTATGACTTCAGGCAAATCCCATCCCCTCCCAAACCTCAGTTTCCCCATCTGTAAAATGGGGAATGTGATGCCGGTTCTACTCACATGGTGCTCTATGTCAATGCAATAAAGGGCGTAAAGGGTTTTGCACACACTGAGCAGGATGCAAACGTAAGACATCATTAATACCTTAGTTGGCTCTGTTCTGCTAAGAATTTTGAAACACAAGCTTGAGACTTGTCTGTTCTCTAACTATGGGTCACTGTCAGTCTCAAGAATCCTTTGGTTTTGAGATCGTGGGCAGTTTGCCTCCTTGGAAGCCCACTCCTTTTAATGTCAGAGGTGACACCAACAGCACAGTCCTCAGTGTGGCAAGGAGGACACAGTGAAATCCTGATAGTGACAGTGATTATTACAAATGAGACTGGCTTCTTCTCTGAACAGAACATGGTGGCTTGGGGACTGCTGTTTGGAAAATGACTTTCAGTGTTTATAGTAATAAGGGAAGAGTTGTCATAGCAAAGTCATCTTGGGAGAGCCTGACGCAGAGGCATGGGCTGAGGAATGACAAGTCAGAGAAGCCACCAATTCCCTGGAAGCCGTGAATTGTGAACAGGAAATATCATGGGGAGCAGCAGCTTGGAGGAGCTGGTGCCAGGGAAGGCAGTTGGGGAATCCCAGCAGCTGCTGCCTTCCACCTCCTGGAAAACAGCAAGTCTAATGAATCACAGAGTGAGCACAGGTCTGCCAAAATGGCCTGGCTTTGGCCAGGATCTCCTAGGGCACAGATGACAAAGAGAGTGCCCAGCATGTTCACCTGCTTACCTGGTCAGCCAGAATGGCCACAAAAGCAAGGAAGCAGAGAAATGGGATGTCCAGTAGCCCAGCCCCACTGGCTGCAGAATCCAGCAGGCATAGGATAGGACATCTTAACTAGAAATTAGAACTCACAAAGTTCCATTAATTAAATGAATATGATAATACCCTACTTAATACAGTGAGTTGTGAAATGGCACAAAGAAAATGTCTCGCAATTTGCCTAATTATAGTAGACACTTAATACGTGCTAGCTGCTTTCCAGGGCATACATTTATTTATAAACCATGGATTGAGCACCTCCTGTATTACAGGTACTGGGAATAGACAAAGACAGCACAGGCACTGCTTCCAGAGAGCACCCAGCCCAGTTTGGACACACAGGCAGAAGAGGAGCAGCACGTGCTTGTGCAAATGCTTTCAAGTTGGGACCCGGAAACACTGAAAGGCTAAGCTAAGAGAGTGCCAGCAGAGCCAGCACAGGACGCCCAGCTCCTACTCTGGCTCCTGCATGTCCCTGCCGTTCAGCAGAAAGCTGTTTCAGAAAGAGCAGCCCAGCAATGGGAAGCTCGTGTCTTCCTGGCCTCGGAAATACAGGCTCAAGGGGCTGGTGGGGTTTCCAGCTGCAGGAGCAACTCTCCAGGGCTCCTCCCAGGACATTTATCGCAAACTCTTAGGCTTTCTCCTGCAGCTTTGGTTGTCTGGGGACTTTATTATGTATAACCAAACTACACAGGGTGTGGAGGGAAGAATTGGGCCCTGAGAGGACTTGCCAATCATTTGAATACTTGCAAAGATGTTTTAAACCAAAGGATTTGGTGATACTCCCACTTGAGCCAAGATAAGCTGTCAGGGCCATCCTAGCACAAACAAGGCTGGATCCAGAGGGTGGCGGAGAAATGAGTGTCCTCGGCACACAGATTCACCTTCCTTAGGATCTTAACCCCACATTCAGAGGAGACTTAAGTTCCCTTTTCCCCAATGATTTCCTGATGGGGGAAACCAAGCCTAGAGGCAGGATGTGAAGTGATGAAGGTCAGAGTGCACACTCCAGAGCCCAGCCCTCCTGTGCTCTATCTCCTGGCTGAACAGTAGTATCTACATGGAAGTCTGGACACTCACTACCCTTAGACTAAAATCTGCAGCAACCTCTGCAGGTGAAAACAACCCAATGTTAATGTTGGGTACTCACATGGCTACCATGTTTATGTAAACCAGTCACTTCTGACCAAAGACCCCAGCTGTAAAACCAGCAGCAATCTTAATGGGAGACCTGCCAGAGAAATCTACCCCAAAGTGATTCACCCCTAAGGGTGTCAGGAGATGCAGTTTCAGCCTTGGTTCCACCACTAATTTGCAGCGTGGTTATGGAACAACCACAGCCCTTCCCAGCTTCAGCTTTTTACCTTTTAAACAGAGCTCCCAGCTGCTGTCTGCTTCCTTCCTTCATCCTGCAATATCAGCAACACCTCTCAGGGTGCCAGTCAGGACTGGGATAGCAGGACACGACTTTCCCCACCCAGACTCTGCTCTTGCCCCTGCCCCCGTTTTGGGTAAACCGGACAGTTACCCATCACTGACCTACAGAGCCCTTCTGCCACTAGTGTACAGACCCTGAATTTTCCTGTAAATAGACCAGCATGTCTCAGTAGGATGATGAGGAAGAGGCTCAGGATAGGGTAACGTGGAAAGAGGCCACTAGGAATTTGCTTCTGAATTGATGTCCGACTGCCTTTTCCAAGCTGCGTTGGGTTTAACTCCAGTTGGCCCAGAGCAATGTGGCAAGTCTGACCAGTGTGGGAAATCAGAGGCCTGTGGCCTTCAACAGTGCCCAGCCCAAGTCCTCCTTGCTTCCTTTTTGCATGATAAATGGGTCAGAAATAAAGAAGGTGATCATTTATTGAAATTGATGCCC